CGGTTTTCCCTACGTTATGTTAAAAAAAAAACATTTATTCTTACCAATTTTTTTGGTAAAATATAAAAGACGGGGTCACGTCAGGTAAATAGACACTAAACATGTCAAGCCTTAAAATTGTGCGCGCCCACATAATTGCAAAAAACAACCACACCGAAAATTGGCCATAGGCGACGCTTTTAATGCTCATCGGTTTAGTGTTATCAGTGAGTCGTCGTTTTCGCACGTAGGCATGTTTGCGTGTTTATATGGCGGCCGGGGAACTTAAAAAAAATGTAGTGTTTTTTTTAAAAATGTATGCTTGAATTTTTTTATAACTTTTTTTTTACACCTAACTTTTATTGCTATCACATAGGGGGCTGCTTAGCCCCCTATGTGATAGCCAATTTACATGGCAGGTCTTCTTTATGGAGACATGAGGGGTCTCTAACACCCCTAATGTCACCTAGGAACCCCCAGGGAAGCTGGTGAAGCAGAGATTTCTCCCCCCCCCCCTTTTTCCCCAACACATGCGTAAATTGCTTAATTACTATTTTTGTTCTGTTTTGTGAAACCGTTTATTTTGTTGAACGCATTTTTATACCCTATGTCAACTGAGACGTATTAGAAATAATATGTAGCAACAGGGTAGCCAGGGAACACACCTGAAGGCCAGTCCTCAGAGTTATTCTAAAGTGATGCTGTGAAAGCAGCCTTCTTAATGTTTGTGTATCATCATAGCATTAAAAGAGAACTATGGGGTAAGTGTTTTTCCCCATAGTTCTATTTAGCGTCATATGACCCAAAGCTCAGTAATGGATACAGTACTGTTGAGATCCACCCAGCTGCGTAAGTGACAGCTGGCTCTGCCTATCTAGAGGCAGAGCCAGCTGTGCCCGTCCCCTCCCCCATTCGTTCCTCCACTCAGCGCTGGAGGGGAGGGGGAAATCCCTGCGGGGAGCAGTGACTGATAGTCACCGCTCACTGCAGGGAGACAATCAGGAAGTGAGGAGATCGGTGCATGTTTCTGCTCACTTCCCGATCGATAGAGCCGACCTGTGACAGCTTCTTTGTCACAGGTCGGCTCTAACTATGAGGATGAGTGGAAATCACTCACCTCATAGTTCTCCTTTAATTATTGTAAAGTGTTGTCACAGCGCTAAAGGTTTGAGATAAATATAAAAATATGTGAATATATATGGATCAAAACATGAGTGATAACCCTGTGTATAAGTCTTCAAAAAAACCTACCAATATGAATATAAAGTACCAAAAAACAGGTGTCCATAAAGGACTGAAAAAGTGCTGATGTGCAAACAATCAAAAGGAAAGCTACATTCCTCAATAAGATAAGTGAATAATTGTAACAAGATATCACACTATAAAAACCATAAAACTAAGTATATCGAAGTGAACTATAAAAAATTAAATAACCATTCAATAAAACTATTTCATAAATATGTGAAGAAGTGCAAAATAGCAGTGAAAACAGTGAAGCAAATGTAACAATCAAAATTGTATTGCAGATACAAGGATGAAAAAGATGTAAAAAATGAAAAAACGAAAAATGAAAAAACACAAGTCCTTCCAGAAATTTCAGTCCGTGATGTGAACTAACACAAACTGCACCAAAAAATATATATACGAAAAAAATAGATAAGTTATATCAAAATCAATATGAGCGTTCTGATGAGAGTTCCACAATTCTTCCTCACCCGATCTGAAGCCCCCCAAACGGTGGTTACTCACCAGATGGTGTATGGACAGCAAGCTCCTCTCAATCTTTCTGACACGAACTGTTTAGCAGTGTGTCTGGTCTGTTCTTAGTTGTTGGTCTGGCCGGCCGGAAAACTTTTTAAACTTCTATGTGAACTGTTTATATATATTTTTTGGTGCAGTTTGTGTTAGTTCACATCACGGACTGAAATTTCTGGAAGGACTTGTGTTTTTTCATTTTTCGTTTTTTCATTTTTTACATCTTTTTCATCCTTGTATCTGCAATACAATTTTGATTGTTACATTTGCTTCACTGTTTTCACTGCTATTTTGCACTTCTTCACATATTTATGAAATAGTTTTATTGAATGGTTATTTAATTTTTTATAGTTCACTTCGATATACTTAGTTTTATGGTTTTTATAGTGTGATATCTTGTTACAATTATTCACTTATCTTATTGAGGAATGTAGCTTTCCTTTTGATTGTTTGCACATCAGCACTTTTTCAGTCCTTTATGGACACCTGTTTTTTGGTACTTTATATTCATATTGGTAGGTTTTTTTGAAGACTTATACACAGGGTTGTCACTCATGTTTTGATCCATGTATATTCACATATTTTTATATTTATCTCAAACCTTTAGCACTGTGACAACACTTTACACTTTCACTTTACACCTTTCATAGCAGCTTTAGGATCACTATTTTGACTTTTAGTTTACTTTCCAAAAGCGCAGATTTTTTGTTGCAATCTCCTTTAATTATTATCACCACTTTAACATTTTAAAACATGTAATAGACAAAATCTGAACATTGCCTTAAAGCCTGTAACTGCATCAGATCTTTCCTGCAGCAGTAGCATTCGGTGTGTTTACTCTTTGTATCACCTAAAAAATGTGATGTCTGACTACGTTTACAAGATAATAGTTTCACTTAAAGACAGACCCGGAGATAATGACGAAGGGGCTGCAAGACTGGGAGAAGGAATAGTCCCTGGAGAAGGTGTTAAATAATAATGAGAATCAGCTGATCTTACCTGATTGGAGGTTGGGATCAGGTGTTGGGGAGGAGCCAAATGGAATGGGACTGCAAGGGCTGAGGGGCGTTCCTAACTGGGAAATTGATGGAGGAAGCAGGTTGTACCGCTGTCCTCCCCTAATTTTTTTTGAAGTTGGTGGCAGTTGGAATGGTTGTTTATGTCACAGCAGCTTTGCGGGTTAAGAGGTCTTTTGGGGTCTAGAAATATGAGTCGGTTACAAAATGGGGGGCCATCAGCTGGTATGCTGATCCCTCCCCTGTTGGTGTCGGTAGTTGTCGCCTTGGAACTTGGGAAGCAATATCTGTATCTGTGGGGGTACGGCTGGCGACATGGTAGCAGTTTTAGTAGAGGCCTTATTTTGGCTGATGGGCACCCAAAGACCCCTTCTCGGATCCAACAGTCATTCAGATTATTTATTTGTATATTATTATTATTTTTTTATGTTTGGTAACTGTTCATTTTTGGTATGTTTAATGAAGGATCTGCTGTGGCCATTTAAATCCATGTCGTGCAGTCCGGGTGTTCATTGGGGTTTTTAACAGAGGGATGTAAGCGATAGATCCATCAGTCAAGCTGCACTTAAACTTTTATAAAATAATCTCATAGTCTTTACGTTGCAGCAATAACCTCCTCAATTAAATATTAATACGAGGTCAAAGTGCCTTTTTTACATATCCATCGTAGTGCTACCTATCCTCTGATGAGATTACAATAAAAGACCTCCTATATGCCAGAAAACCTAAGCCTCTGAGATATTTGGTCAAGGTACTTAGCAATGGGTATTAAATTGTGTCAAGCTGAGCCCAAGTATCATTTTAAGAGCCTAACACAGAAAATTGAATGACTCTGGGCTTGTTCTCTTTCCTTGCATATTTTCCTATGCCCATAAAATAAATCTGACACAGCATGGAAGAGATAGTAGAATGAGATTGCAGAATAATTCACAGCTCTAATGAGATTCTCTGAAAGGCAGAATGAATCAAACACGCCACCCTCTCACCACCCATCAGTTACAGCCTGGCTGATAAATGAACAGTCTCTAGCAAAGTGTTAAGCGGCTTGACAGCAATTTATGGGTTAACAAGCTATGACATCATCACAATCATGTGCATGGGCACAGCATCACTTGCATGTTAAATTCATCCGTTTGTGCTATTTTCACAGCAACAATACCACCGGCTAGTTACACTAAGTGAATGGTTAATGGTGCATTCCAGAACAAGATGTAACGGTGTGTGTCACATCTGTTTTGTATCGACAATACTCATTTACAATTAATTGATAATAATCAGTCATTTCTTTCCGCATGCTAAAACAAGTACAGGTTCGTTGTTTCGGTCACAGCACATAAGCAATTTTAATTGTTTAAGATGTTGCAAATGCCATTTTCTGTTTGGATGACTATAATAACAACAATTTAATGAGAAAGCTTTCACTAGATATTAAAAAGGACAGATGTGTAGAAATTGTTTAATTTTTGCTTACGTGGTAATGGAAGGTAATTGGCTTGCAAATGCTAAAGTGAAAAATGGTACAATGGAAGTGCAGAAAAGTCCCACTATAACCATGGACAAATGCTCAAACAATGAAACCCACAAACTGACTAAACACTTAAAGTAGAACTCTGGCCAAAATATGTATTAACCCATGTAGTGGGACTGCCCCCGCACTGCAAGGGTTAATTACTCCTTTTGGTCCATGGAGGAAAATAACAAAGTTATGCTCACCCAGTTCTCCGAGCTGGCCAGCTGTGATAGCGTTCCCCCCAGCCTGTCTCCTTTTACACTCCAGCGATGGCATGTCCCTCTGTGTCC